ATCGTTGCTAACAGACTCTACTTCGCTGATATTTGTCTGATTCGTACATTATCTTTGTTACCTACACACGTCAATTTTGACTTTCATGAACTGGCACTTTTAAATCAGACATAGGGCGAGTAACCCTGAGAATTTTAAAATTTTAAAATTTAGAAAAAATTTTAAAGGAATTTTTAAAATTGGAACTGAAGATTTAAAAGTGCCAGTTCATGAACATCAAAATTGACGTGTGTAGGTAACAAAGAATGTACGAATCAGATAAATATCAGCGAAGTAGAGTCTGTTAGCAACGACGAAGGAAACAATTGGGAAGACCGGTGTTTTAAATTTTAAACTAAGTGCAGTGTAGCAGCTACGTGAGTGTATACACCTGATGATGGCCGTTTGTGGCCGAAACATGTAGTGTAAAAGAAAGCAAGACGAAAGACCTACAATAAATTGTTGCACTTAGGACGGAGTTTATATCATATATTGTTTTGGTTCGTTGTCACACGACGTTCGGCCTTCTTTGAACTGTCGCACTCACAAACGCACATTTTTCACATTCATGACACCATCATCACATGTCTCACGCAACTGGAGAAGACGAATGATTACTTGCTGTTCTTGTAACGAAAATGTCGCCATTTTAGGTATCAAAAACACTCCTCAAACTCTCCACCACCACTAGAGTTCTGTGTGCCATACAGTGCTGCCATCTCTGTCATGCATTCACAAAGAGTGCAGACATATTTTAAACTAAACCGCATGTGTCTAACTACGCCCAGTCCTGAGAAAAAAATCGGAGACCTTAGAATTTGAATGCCCCTCGTATAATCATGACCTACACACTTCCTGACTCAAAGTTTTCTACATTCAAATGAACTATTCCTTGAACAATATCACTGATAAACTTATGTCTGCGAGAAACATGCCTGCTTATAAAATGTTAAATGTTGCAATGACACTGAGCATATCGGTAACTACTTTTAAAACATACTAAATTCCTTGTGGCTGGGAGACTTACAGTTAACTTTTCTGAACTGAATTGAATTTATTTGCATTCCACAGATCCTAAGTAGGTTAATACCTCTGGATATAGAACAAGTCAAAATAATACCTACTGGTACAAGTAATTTTATCTTAAACTAATATAGCTTAATTCTACATTATTCTCTATTTACATTGAGGCATTCGTCTACAGAGTAGAAGGAATGAGCATGCAGACATTTCTTTAGCTCTGATTTAAAATGTTTAGTATCATTACTCAAGTTTTTGATACTTTGTGGGAGACTATTGTACACTTTTATGCCAGAAAAGTAGACTCCTTTTTGATATAGTGATAAGTTTGATGAAGGTAGATGGAAGTTATATTTTTGTCTAGTATTCATGTTATGGATACTGGAATTTAATTCAAATTAATTTTTGTTGTACACAACAAATAAAAGAAGCGATAGTATATATTGTGATTCAAGAGGTAGAATTTTTAATTTCTTAAATATATCTCTACATGAATCTCTACTTCTATGTCCTGTAATGATTCTAATTATATTCTTTTGTATCTTAAAAATGTTTATACTATGTGAAGAGTTCCCCCAGAATATTAATCCATAGTTCATAATAGAATGAAAATAGGCATGGTAAACCATCTTCAGTGTTTCCTGTGGCATAAAGGGCTTAATCGATCTCATTGCATAGCAAGCTGCACTTAATTTAGGTATAGTTTGTTCTATATGTATTTTCCAAGACAGTGGATTAAGCAACACATAGTGATTACACCATGAATTAAAACAGACATACCGTGCTGGATCCCTTGGAAAACTGAAGAATCTTATGCCTTCCTTGCTGGATGACAAGCACACAGCAGCAACACAAGTTTTTGACACTT